AATTTTGGGCTCCGTTGTGGTCGCAAGTCGAGGACTCCCTGTATTTTACGGATGATTTTGCTGTAAACAGACAATTACATCTGTGTCTGGCAAAATGACACCCATAGGAGCTCTTTGGTTTGCTTAAGGACTGTGGTATTTGCTTTACAACCACCGCAAAAAAAAAAAAAGGTTATAAAATTGGGTTGTTCAGTTGACAAACCCATTTTACAGCCATTATGACATACGACAGTAATGGGCTGTATGTTGAGGACTTACCTGTAACTGGAGGAGACCTTATGTTTACTGCCTGGAGTTTGTACAAAATAAGGGGGGGTGTAAATCAGTAAAAATCTCCCTGCACCCTTAAAACAGAGATATGTTGCTCCTTTGCTGAATTTTCAGGGAATAAGGGAAAATATTTGAGTCTGCTGTTCCTCTTTTTCCAGCACTGTGCTTTTTAATAGTTTGTATTTGGTTATTTATTCTCCTTTTGTGCATTATTTTTCTTGCTTAGAACAGTATTTGCCCACTTCCGTGCACGGTGGACTTCAGTTCCCAGAATTCCCAACAATGCCATGCTGGCTGTGGAATTCTGGGATCTGAAGTCCACAGGTCTGTGAAGGCTTGAAGCGTTCTGAGGGCCTGTAAAAGAAAGAGAAACGATGGAAGGAACTTTTACGCAGTTGCTACCTCTGAAATATCCTGCCTGGGGAAAGCAAGGCATTAAGGTAGGCCTCAATTTACGAGGACAGGTTCCATTACGGTCGTAAGTCATCAAGGGGGCCACCCACTTAACCGACTCAATTTTATGACCATTTTTGTGGCAGTTGTTGAGCGGATACTGCAGTCGTTAAGTGAAACAATGGTTTGGTATGGGCTGGTTTTGCTGAAGACTGGAAGTAAATGCCAGGTTTTGGCAAAAATGTTATAAAATGTGGTCCCATGACTATATGATGCTGCAAATGGCTGTAAATGAACTCCAGTTGCTGAAATATGGTCATATGAATGGGGGGGGGGGGGTGATCTTGGGAATTCGGAGCTGGGTCATAAGTAATCCTAGAGAGGTCCTGGATATGTTGAGACTCCAGAAAGAGTGCAGAGAAGAGCAACAAAGATGATCAGGGGCCTGGAGGCTAAAACATACAAAGAACGTTTGCAGGAATTGGGTATGTCTAATCCAGGGGCCTTCCAACTTGGCCCTTTTATGACTTGTGGACTTCAACTCCCAGAATTCCTCAGCCAGTGTGCCTGTGCCTAGGAGTTGAAGTCCACAAGTCATAAAAGGGCCAAGTTTGAAGGCCCCTGGTCTAATCTAATGAAAAGAAGGACGAGGGGGGACATGATAGCAGCCTTCCAATATCTGAGGGGCTGCCACAAAAAAAAAGGGGTCAATCTATTCTCCAAAGCACCTGAAGGCAGGAGAAAAAAAAGCAACGGATGGAAACTAATCAAGAGGAGAAGCAACCTGGAATTAAGGAGAAACTTCCTGTCAGGGAGAACAATCGATCAATGTCCCAAAGGTGTTTTTTTCAGGAGGCAACTGGATGAGAAGTGAAACGTCTTAAAAAAAAACCCAAGAAAGTCCAGTTGCCTCCTGAAAAAAAGCACCTTTGGGATAACTGTGACCTGGACGACTGAGAATTTCCGTAGACATTTAGCAAATCTATCAGTGGAACGACCTGCCTCCAGAAGTTGTGGGTGCTCCATCACTGGAGGTTTTTAAGAAGAGACTGGACAGCCATCTGTCTCAAACAGCATAGCAGTGGTGGCGAACCTGTGGCACGGGTGCCAGAGGCGGCACTCAGAGCCCTCTCTGTGGGCACGCGTGCTGTCGCCCCAGTCCTAGTCCTTCAGGTGGGTTTTATAAAACCTTTTCGCTTTAGGCCTCCGCCGCTGTGTACAAAAAAAAAAGTTCAATCAATCAGTCAATTTCAACTTCTCGCGGGGAAAAAAAAGATCTTGCAAACTTGGAATTGATTGATTGAACTTTTCAGTCCCACCCAGTCTGCTGTTACCACCGCGGCCACGCCCACCCAATGGGCCACGCCCACCCAATGGGCCACATCCACCCGGCACCCGACGATGCATAAGTGGGTTTTGGGTTGCAGTTTGGGCACTCGGTCTCTAAAAGGTTCGCCATCACTGCAGTATAGGGTCTCCTGCTTGAGCAGTGGGGTTGGACTAGAACAGAGGTGTCAAACTCAATTTCATTGAGGGCCGCATCAGCATTGCGGTTGCCCTTGGGGGGACGGGTGGGTGTGGCCAGGGTGGGCACGGCTGGAGTGGGTGTGGCCTATTGGGTGGGCGTGGCCAGATCTACATCATTCGCGTCCAGGGTGCCTGTGGGGGCCTAGGCAGGAGTGGGACAGATCTGAGGGTCTCTGGCAGAAGGGGGTGGGACCGGGGCAAGCGCCAAGGCATGGTCCATTTCTTCATTCCTCACAAAGGGTGACCCCTCCCCAGCATGCACCCAGGGGGCGGGGTCGACACAACAGGGGCTGGTTCCTCGCTGTTTCCAGACGGCCTTGTGGAACTAAGACTGAATGCATTTCAGCATAGATGGCCACCACAAAATTGTACATTGGCTCCCGGCCGGCCTGGGCCAGGGCCAAGGCAGCGGGGGCCGTTCCCTCACTGTTTCCAGGATGGCTTCGCGGGCCACATGAAACCACTTCGCGGGCCGCATCTGGCCCCCGGGCCTTGTGTTTGACATGTCTGGAGTAGAAGATCTCCACGGTCCTTTCCAAATCTGTTATTCTGTCTTAGCAGCTCAACACACCTGCTAAGTAGACAAGTCATAAGGCAAGGACTATCTGTATTGTCTCTGTGGATTTTAAGGCCTTTGTCTCTGGACCAGTCAGCTGGAAAGCCGGCAACCCAGGTTCAAGATCCAAGTGCCACAGGATGGGGTGAGCTTCCGTCCTCACCTCAGCTCCTGCCAATCTAGCAATTCGAAAGCATGCAAATGCAAGTACAGTAGTGGCCAAAATTGTGGAAACCTTTTGGGAAATGTGTACAGTAGAAATGCCACCTTTGGTTAAGTTTCCACCCATTTTTCTTCTAATTTCTTTATACCTGTAGCCTTGTTCACTTAATAATACTATTTTACATCGCTTTCTGGGCAACCGGTCAACTCTTTGCACCATGACTTTAATTTTATTACATTTTACAAGCCCACTCAATGAAAGAACACAAAAAAACCCAACCAACTTGACAGCGATCACATAACACACTGACAAATGTCCTCCTCTCAGCTTCAATACACGACATCAATCACTGGATCCTACTGTGATCTGATTGGCTCATTGCCAAAACAAGATGACACCCGATTGGCTCTCTAAACACTCATGCTCATTGGCTACAATCAGATGAAGGAAAGCTACCTGATGTCAACCTAAGCAAGTTGTGCTTCCTTTTTCTGGTTATTTGGCTATAACTTTTCACAGAATACAGTACAGATAATTGAACAAACTATGTTGCATTACATTCTTGATTAAATTATCGTTCCATTGATATATAATTTTATGGTACTACTCCCAAAAAAAAAAAGTGGTGTTATTAGCCATCAAACCTCAAAAAATACACTTTTCCCAAAAGGTTTCCACAATTTTGGCCATCACTGTAGATCAGTGGTTCTCAACCTTTTTAATGCCGCGACCCCAACCGGTCGTAAGTCGAGGACTAAACCGGTTGTAAGTCGAGGACTAAACCGGTTGTAAGTCGAGGACTAAACTGGTCGTAAGTCGAGGACTACCCAACCGGTCGTAAGTCGAGGACGTTCCCTGCCTGGGAGCGCTGCGCATGCGTGGTTCCGCCCCCTGCGCCGGCCGAGGCGTAGCTGGCAAGCAGCAGAGACGGAGCAGGCCGACCACCAGCTGGCCCAGCTCAAGGGAGGTAAGGCACCCGCCGGAAAAGGGGGAAAAAATGGTGGAGAAAAAAAATGGTGGACAAAAAAAATGGCGGACAGCCTTGCTTGGCGACCCCCGTGAAATGGTCGATCGACCCCAAATGGGGTCCCGACCCACAGGTTGAGAACCACTGCTGTAGATAAATAGGTACCACTTCGTTGGGAAGGCAACAAGGCTCCATGACATCAGGCTGACCGCATGACGGCGAAAATGTCTTTGGACAGCGCTGGCCTTAAAACAGAGATGAGCACCCCATTCCCCCATAATTGGCAACGACAAATGGAGTCAAATCTGTAGGGACTCCTTGACCTGTTTCATAAGACGTCCCTTTCTCTAGATGAGGGCAATTCCCCTTGAATTGCTATTGGCTTTATCTGATTTTCTTTTTCCCTGCCTGTTTTTTATTAGATTTTTCTTCTTCTTCTGAACAGTCAGGGTGTGCAGCAAATGGTTTGAAATTTGCACTGCTCTTCCTGAATTCATAATGACCCACCGGAGGAGAGTTGCTTCAGCAAAACCTGGAAAGGATCAAACCTTTATTTCTTTTGCCCACGTTCCTCCGCCGCGTGCAGGACAGACACGCATCGAAGCCTCAAATTTCCCATCAGAAATGCCCGCTTTTTAAATCGCTTAAGCGATGATTCTTCTCTCTTGCGGCAGCACGAAAAGCTCGTAATCTGCAGCTTTTCCCATCCCCACCGCTGAAGTTTCGGTCTTCAAAGCTTTAGGGAAAATATGATGGTGAGCAGCGAGGACAATAAAAAGATGTTGGCAGTGACTTAAAAAGTCCATTTCAATTTTATTCAATCTTGCTCGGGTTTTATCCACTGGAAAACAAAAACTGACCGGTACAAAAAGTTGGTATCAAAGATATGGGACGCCCCTCCCAGCCACCCACCCCAATTTAGCAGTTTAATAAACCTCACTGATACCCAATATGTCCTTCTCTCAACCTGGACTAAATTGTAAGATATTATCCAGGTGACAATTTGCTTTTTATGGAGCAAATCTGGAATATCCAAGCTCGACAACTTTTAAGACCTGTGGACTTCAACTCCCAGAATTTCTCAGCCAGCATTCTGGGAGTTGAAGTCCACAAGTCTTAAAAGTTGCCAAAATTGGAAATCCCTGCCCTAACCTTTCACAGTTACAGTCCATTTTTGCTGCTATACCCCAGAGCAAATATTTCACACGTCATGTCCTTTCAGAGGATTTGTCTGCATTCAAAAACAAGCTCCCTTCAGATCCTCCATCAGGCGCCTAAAAAGAATACCCAAATACACAGAAAATGGAGAATCCAGCCCAAAAAAGTGTTAAAAACACCGTAGCAATTTTGGGGTCTTGACTTGACAGTGCTCAGGAATCCTTCCACGGTTTTGGGGAGAGATGATCAGAGACCCACTAACTTTTGCAAAGCATGCTGTGGTACACTTTCGCAAAGCCAGGCACAAAGAGCCGAAGTCCCGATAAAAAGCTGGGCCATCAAGCTGAATATATATATAAACCTGTGTCTTATTTTACCCCACATGGAAACGGCTTGTCTGGACGTCTTTTAACCAGAGACAAAAGTTTGAAATTTTTTCAAATTCTGGCCTGGCCTTTGGGCCTAGGTGGCGGTGAGGCAGGCATTTTGCAAGTGTCAAACGTGTGGTGTGGTGTGGTGCAGTAGCATCGGGCATAATCACAATAATAATAGTAAAAAAAGAAGGGTTTAAAAACGAACGCAAAAAGAAGAATGAAAGGGGGAAAAAAAAATATGTCCCGGTTTTGCCTCTTCGTTGGACAAGTCCAAAGGGAAAGTAGAAACGCATCAGAGAGGCAGAGATACCGGATGATAGGCGGATACGTGATGTTCGCCACTGAAATCAAACCAATTCGAAGTCACCCCGTTCACACAGGAACCCGGTAGTTGCAGTGATTACACTCCGACTCGCTCAGAGGCAGGGGGGTGCTGGGTTTACGTCCAAGATCCTTTTCGGCACACGACGCCTGGGGCCTCTCCTTGAAGAAGTCGGAGATGTAGCGGACCTGTGAAAAAGGCAGCTCCGATGAGAAGAGGCCAAAGACGGCCAGTTTGATTTAGTGGTGAAGGCACCAGGCTAGAAACTGGGAGGATGTGAGTTCTAGTTCCACCTCAGGCATAAAAAAGCTGTCTGGGGGTGACTTTGAGCCAATCACCAGGAAACAGTGAGTTCTAGTTCTGCTTAGCTATGAAAGCCGGCTGGGTGACTTTGGGCCAATCAACCAGGAACATCGAGTTCTAGTTCTGCTGTAGCTATAAAAGCCAGCTGGGTGACTTTTGGGTCAAACACCAGGAGACGGTGAGTTCTAGTTCTTCTTAGCTATGAAAGCCGGCTGGGTGACTTTGGGCCAATCACCAGGAACATTGAGTTCTAGTTCTGCTGTAGCCCTAAAAGCCAGCTGGGTGACTTTTGGGTCAAACACCAGGAGACGGTGAGTTCTAGTTCTGCCTTAGGCTTGAATGCCAGCTGAGTGACTTTGGGCCAACCACCAAGAGGTTGGGAGTTCTAGTCTTGCCTTAGGCATATAAGCCAGTTGCGTCACCAATCACCAGGAACATTGAGTTGTAGTTCTGCTGTAGCCATAAAAGCTGGCTGGGTGACCTTTGAGTCAAACACCAGGAATCAGAGAGTTCTAGTTCTGCTTAGCTATGAAAGTCGGCTGGGTGACTTTGGGCCAATCACCAGGAACATTGAGTTCTAGTTCTGTTGTAGCCATAAAAGCCAGCTGGGTGACTTTTGATTCAAATACCAGGAGACAGTGAGTTCTAGTTCTGCCTTAGGCTTGAGTGCCAGCTGAGTGACTTTGGGCCAATCACCAAGAGGTTGGGAGTTCTAGTCCCGCCTTAGGCATGAAAGCCAGTTGCGTGACTTTGGACCAATCACCAGGAGATGGGAGTTCTAGTCCAGCCTTAGGTATGAAAGCTGCCTTGGGTGACTTTGAGCCAATCGGTGAGTTCTAATCCCGTATTAGGCATGAAAGTTGGCTGGGTGACTTTGGACCATTCACCAGGAGATGGGAATTCTAGTCCAGACTTAGGTATGAAAGCTGCCTTGGCTGACTTTGAACCGATCACCAGACACGGCGAGTTCTAGTCTTGCCTTAGGCATAAAAATTGGCTGGGTGACTTTGGGCCAATCACCAGGAGATGGCGAGTTCTAGTCCCGCCTTAGGCATGAAAGCCAGCTGAGTGACTTTGGGCCAATCTGTCCATCGCTTACCGTAAGGATAGCAATGAGCGCCCCCTGCAGGAGGCCAACCAGCACGTCGCTCCAATGGTGCTTGTAGTCTGACACCCGGCTGTAGCCCACGTAGATGGCGAAGCAGAGGAGAAAGAACTGGATAGTCGGGCGCAGCAGCCGAGCCCATCGGCCAACCAGGCGGGCCTGGACGTAAAGCTAGAATCCAAGAGAAAGGAGGGGGCTTGAGAGATGGCCGCCAGAGGACGATGGCTTTGGAAGAGAAGGTCTTCCTCTGTGCCCCACGGCTGAACCTGATGCCCAAACTGAATTCCACCCACGCTTGGAATCCTAAATGAGCCCCACGGCTGGGTTTGCCCAATGAGGTCACCGGGAATAAGGGGGCATATAAGGGAAGGGAAGGGGAAAGGGGAAGAGAAAGGGGAAGGGGAAGGAAGGGGAAAGGGAAAGGGGAAAGAGGGGGAAAGGAAAGGAAGGAAATGGGAGGGAGAGAGAAAGGAAGGAAAGAAAGAAAGAAAGAAAGGAAGGAAGGAAGGAAGGAAGGAAGGAAGGAAGGAAGGAAGGAAGGAAGGAAGGAAGGAAGGGGAGGGAGGGAGGAAGGAAGGAAGGAAGGAAGGAAAAAATGAGGGAGGAAGAGATGGAGAAAGGGAGAAAGGAAAGAGGGAGGAAGGAGGGAGGAAGGAAGGAGGGACAGAAGAAGGAAGGAGAGAGGGATGGAGAGAGGGAGGNGGAGAGAGGGAGGAGGGAAAGAGGGAGGAAATGGGAGGGAGAGAGGGAGAAACGGAGGGAGGGAGGAAGGAAGGAAATGGGAGGGAGAGAGAAAGGAAGGAAGGAAAGAAAGAAAGAAAGAAAGAAAGAAAGGGGAGGGAGGGAGGGAGGAAGGAAGGAAAGAAAAAAAATGAAGGAGGGAGGAAGAGACGGAGAGTGGGAGAAAGGAGGGAGGGAGGGAGGAAGGAGGGACAGAAGAAGGAAGGAGAGAGGGAGGGAGGAGGGAGGGAGGAAGGAAGGAAGGAAGGAAATGGGAGGGAGAGAGGGAGGAACGGAGGGAAAGAGGAAAGAAGGAAATGGGAGGGAGAGAGAAAGGAAGGAAGGAAAGAAAGAAAGAAAGAAAGAAAGAAAGAAAGGGGAGGGAGGGAGGAAGGAAGGAAGGAAAGAAAAAAATGAAAGAGGGAGGAAGAGACAGAGTGGGAGAAGGAGGGAGGGAGGAAGGAGGGAGGGAGGAAGGAAGGAGGGACAGAAGACAGGAAGGAGAGAGGGATGGAGAGAGGGAGGAAGGAGGGAGGGAGGAAGGAAGCAAATAAACAAAGTACACAAAGGAAAAATATAGTACAAACATTAGTAAATAAAGGAAGTGTGCAAACAAACAAACAAACAAACAAACAAAGGGAGCAAATAAAAGTGATCAGGTAATGCCGGTGTACAAATAAAGTAATAAGTAAAACACGCAAATGTATAAAAGGCAGCAAATAACTAAAGGCAGCAGACACATAAATAAAGGCAGCAAATAAAATTAAGTTAGCAAATAAAGAAAGCATGCAAATAAATGCAAAATAAATAAACGATGCCAATCAATAAAGGAAGGATGGAAATAAATAAATAAATGAATGAATGGAACAAATAAAGCTAGCAAATAAACAAAGGAAGGGAGTGCACCAATAAACAACCATGCAACATTTCTGCCCCCACCTCCCCCAATTTGGAAGCTCATCAAAATTATAGCCCCCCCCCAGTCACCAAGGCAGCCGCTGAGGGGTCCCAATTTAGCTAATCCTGGTTCGGTGGGTTGTGGGAACGCAGCCACGATTGGCACCCCTCTCAGTACTTTTTTAACTGACTACGACAGGGGTAGGCAACCTTGGCTCTTTTATGACTCGTGGACTTCAACTCCCAGAATTCCTGAGCCAGCAGGGCTCAGCATGGAAACCTCTCCCTTTTCCCTCAGCGTGGCTGGCTCAGGAATTCTGGGAGTTGAAGTCCACCTGTCTTCAAGTGGCTAAGGTCGAGAAACATTGCTCGCAATCACTTCCTCCCTGGTCCTTGGAAATGCAAACAAACCTGCGTCTAATGGCATCCATCCAGCGTTGACCCCTCCCCCCTTCCAGAGAATTCTTTGAACCCCGCGATTCACTCCCTCACTCACCGCTAAAAACATCATGCAGTACATCCCAAAGGAAGAGTGTCCAGAATAGAATGACAATCTAGAAAGAGAAGAAAAAAAGAAATATATATATATTTGTTAAGTCAAATTTTGCCCCATTTTACGACCTTCCTTGCCGCGGTTGTTAAGTGTATCGCTGCAATTGTTAGGTTGCGAAGACGGTCGTTAAGCGGATCTGGCTTCTCCGTCGATTTTGCTTGTCAGAAGGCCGTCGCAAAAGGGGATTACATGACCCCCCGAGACATTGCAACTGTCATAGGTACATGCCAGTTGCCAAGCCTCCAAATTTTGATCACGTGACCCTGGGGAGGCTGTGACGGTCGTTAAATGTGAAAAAATGGTCTTAAGTCCATTTTTTCAGTGCCGTTTTCACTTGGAATGGTCACTAAATGAACTGTTTGTAAGTTGAAGACTTACCTGTATATATATATATGGATGGTTGGCTAATACTTTCTCCCTTCCAAAATTCTTAAACAGGAGAACTCATGGTGGAAAGTTGTTCCTGTTTCAGATCCAACACGGCTTCAGCTTTTGTCTTTTTTTTAAGAAAAGTTCTTAACTGGAAAAGGAGCTACTGGACAACTATGTTATAAGGAGTCCTTGACTTACGACGGACTTGACTAGACCTTGACTAGCAACGGATGGAAACTAACCAAAGAGAGAAGCAACCTAGAACTAAGGAGAAACTTCCTGACAGTTAGAACAATTAACCAGTGGAACAACCTGCCTCCAGAAGCGGTGAATGCTCCAACACTGGAAGTTTTTAAGAAGAGACCGGACAGCCATCAACTGGTATAGGGTTTCCTGCCTGAGCAGGGGGTTGGACTAGATGACCTCCAAGGTCCCTTCCAACTTTATTATTATTATTTAAGAACTTTGAAATTATGATCTGGGTTCCTGCCTCTCCTCCCGCCTCTTGGGGTGGGGAACGCAATCTTGCGTACAAAACAGGTGGCCCCAACCATTTTACACGCAGTCCTCGATTTACGACCGTTTGTTAGGTCACCGCTGGAAAAAAGTGACTTACGATCAGTCCTTGCACTTACAGCCGCTGCCGTCATGTGATCAAAATTTGGGAGCTTGGCCACCTGACATTGGTGGCTACGTCCCACGGTCACGTGATCATGAGCGGCGGTTTTCCCAGGCAACTTCC